CCTGGAAGCCAAATGAGTACATCTCGCAGCCTGTCTGCCAGCAACTCAAAGCTGCTTGCTGGACAGGGGACTGAGACAATCGACAACAATCGCATGTGGTTGGCCAAGAGCAACTTGTTCTTAGCTTTGGGCCGACTTTCAAAGCGTTGGCGCCGACCCGGTGGCCCGTTCAAATGCTGCGGCGTTTAAACCGGCCGATCGTGCGAAGTAACCTAAGTTCATTCTTGGAGACTTCTCTCTTTGCCAGCAAGGAGTTCAAGCGGCTCCCTGTTAAAAACGCATTCCCATTTCAGAAAAATGCAAAATAGTCATGCAAATGGTTTCTTGCACTTGCCGAAAGCAAACCAGGCCCGGCCCGCTCAGCACACTCTCACAAATCTGGAAATAATGAAAACACGGGCAGAGCAGTCTCCTTTTACCAGCAAAGGCAGAGACCGATTGCAAGCCGGCGTGGCATCTATGACGTCTCACGCTAATCTTGCAAGGGTGCCAAAGTGGTCGTGGTGGCCAGACCTTTGTCAGTACCCATCACTATGTGCTTTCCGCCGCCGTTTACATGTTGTACAGGGCTGAGCGAGCTTATGCTATTTACATGCTGCACAGGATGTGACCTCGAGTCTCCATTGGCTGAGTCAAGCGAATCAACTTCCTGCTTGCCACTGAGCTTGGCCAGAATGTGCTCCAGCTTCGCATCCACCTCCAAGCAGCCATTCTGATAAGGAGCACCACTGAGTCCATGCAATGTCTGACCAGCATGCAGGTCCACTCAACGAAACTGTGCGCGCCGTCTGCACGCACAGGCTCCAGCAGTCTGGAACACAAAGAAAGGCAACCATCGAAAAAGACACCTCGGAAAACGAACAGAAAAACAAACGACATGTCAGTCATGGATTGAGCCTGAAGAGGTGTCTCGATCTGTTGTGTTGTGCTTTTGTCTGTTTTGCAATGTTGGAGTGTTGTTGGATCCTGTGTGAATTGAAGCTTACTTCGGTCTAAATGCTTGCGCTGCGCCGTTTGTGACGGATTGATATCTCCAGGAAACCTTGCGTGGGTCTTCCTCCAGAGTCCTTGTCAAAAAATTCACCCCACGCACGCGCGACCCTCCGCATGTGATTCCCAGCATCACCAGCATCACCAGCATCCCTAGCATCCCCAGCACCCCCCAACATCCCCAGCATCCCACCCAGCATGAAACACAGCAATCCCGGCACCCCAAGCCATCAGCATCACCGGCATCATCAGCATCATCAGCAGCACCTGCATCAGCAGCATCACCGCATCCTAGCATTCAATATCCAGCATCTTTGAATTGCTGAATGCAGGGTGATTTAAAATATTAATGTCAATATATCAATAAAAATACTAAACTCATATCAAGTTGCGATTGATCGACATCATGAACAAATTCATCATGTTCTGATTTTAAATGTTCTAAATCATTATAATTACCAACATAATTAATCTGAAATTGCTGTGGCCAAAGAAAGACTACGCTGTCGGGCCGCGACAGCATCGAAGCATTCCCAGCACCCAAGCATGTCCGGCATCCCAGCATTCACAGCTTTCACACTGACGGCATTGAGTTGTTGATGTTGTTGGCCTTGTCCCTTCTCAGAAGCCGGATGCTTGCTATCACAGGTGCGCGCTTGGATTGAATATGGAATTTTCTTGTTTCCTGCTCCCATGGCTATCAGCCGATTTTCTCAGGAATAGGACCCTAGGACCCTCCAAATGAACCCCTCCACAGCCCCTGCCTCCTGCATCTTCCTCTCCATGCCTGAGCAGTAGCACGGAGCTGCTGGCAAATGCGTGTCCCGAAACAGGGCCCGAATCTTGGGGCACGCCATTTGACTCCTTTCGAGCAAGGAACCAGACCAGAATGCAAAAAATCGAATACCAATGGTTCAGGTGCGCTTGCATTGCGACAAGTGCGGAGCGGTACACAAACAGGTGGAACTGTCATCCTGTAGATCCGCGAGGAAGGCACACGCACCACCAACACACGGACTCGAAAAAGCTGACACACACACACACACACACACACGCAGCACACAACACACACACACACACACACGTACAAACACGTACACACACACAGAGACACACGCACACACAGTGACAGCCAACCTGAAAACATTCGCAAAGGCATGCGCACCACATACACAAGGACACCCAGACACTCCAAAGTACGTATTCAAACACATACCTCAGGAGAACAAAAAAATAGGAAAAACACGAGCTGAGCATGTTGTGTGGCAAGTGCGGCACGGTCAATGTTCACCCTGGTTTAGGTCATAGTCGTAATTTGTGAAGGCTTGCAAGAATAAGTTGACTCTGTACGTGCTCCTTCACTGTGTGTCTGTGTGTGTGTGTGTGTTCTTGTGTGTGAGTCTGTGTGGGTGCCTTTGCGATGTGTGTTTGTGTGTCTCTCTCTCTCTCTCGGTCTCTCCACCACCTTCGGACCAGGATGGATACCATAAAGCTCGCCCCTAGAACCCAAGTAAAGACCAAAAATAAAGAGAAAAGAGAGAGAGAGAGAGAGAGAAAGAAAGCGAGACACGCGCAAACACATAAACAAACAAAAAAACAAAAAATAAAATAAAAAACGGACAAACAGACAGACAGACAGACAGACAGACAGACAGACAGACAGACAGACAGACAGACAGAAAGACAGAAAGACAGAAAGACAGAAAGACAGAAAGACAGAAAGACAGAAAGACAGAAAGACAACAAACGAAACAAACAAACAAATCAAACAAGCAAGCAAACAAGCACTCAAGCAATCAAGCAATCAAACAATCAAACAATCAAACAGTCAAACAAAGAAACAATCAATCAAACAAACAAACAAACAATCAAGAAACAAACAATCAAGCTATCAAGCAATCAAGCAATCAAACAAACAAACAAACAAACAAGCAAACAAACAAACAAACAAACAAACAAACAATCAAACTAACAATCAAACAATCAAACAATCAATCTATCAATCAATCAAACAAACAAACAAGCAAACAAACAAACAATCGCACACACACACACACATACACATCGCGCCTGTGCATCGCGCTTCCAGCTGTGATCGGATCTCTCCAAGCTGCTCCTCGATGCTATTCTCGCCTGGGCTGTCTGTTGGGCAGAGCGCTATCCAGCACCAGCCAAGTAATCTTGAAAAATATTCCGTTTGGATGGCTCTGCCGCTGCCGCTGCCTGGACTGCTTTCCTTCGTGCAGATGTACTATGTCCGCCGCGCGACCTGTCACTGACAAGGCCATGTCGTGGACAGCGTGACCTCAGATCGCCGTCCAACACTTCCCGGCCACATCACTCAGTGTCAGGAAATGGCTCTGTCCCCACGGAGAATTTCAGATGGTGGTAGTTGGATGCCCTTTAAGACAGGTCCAAAAGGGTACATCCAGTATGAGATGTCCCGTGCAATTAGACATGGATTACACACATCATGTTGACCAGTCAATTTCAGCACCGTCCTCAGTCTGCAATGCAAAGCAACTGAGGCCACGGCAGATCCAAAGAAAGTGATCCAACTTGTCGGAAGCCAGCCCCTCCATGCTAAGCCTAGGCATTCTCTTTTTAACAGCCATGTTTGTTGATGCAAACTGCAGGAACCGCAAGCGGTCTGATCCCAAATTGATTCCTTGAGAGGATGACAAAAAGTGCCCGGCCCTCCTTTCAGGATCCATCTTTTCGGGTGCAGTTCAGCTATTGCTATCACGTTGCAAAAGCTTGGCTCAACTTGACACGCCGCTTTGGCAGGAACCATTACCGCTGGGCATTTTGGGTCAGATGCTTGCTGGTTCACTCGCTGACTTGCTTGCTTCCTTCCGTGGCTCTCTCTTGCTTACATTCTCGCTCGCTCGCCTGCTTGTTCGTCTGCTCGCTCACTCGCTCCCTTGTTTGCTCGCCTGCTCATTCGCGGAATCGCTTGCTTTCTTGCTTGCTTTCTTGCTTGTTTGCTTGTCTTCTTGCTTGCTTGTCTTCTTGTTGGATTATTATTTTAAAGCCCTCTGCCCTCTGCCCAAGGTCCCGGGGACCGGGCCAGTGGCACTGCACCATGCTGCTGTTCAGCAGGCTTTGGCTGAGAGCGAGCACCAGGGCGGAGTGGTTAAGCTCCATGCCGGTCCTAAGCAAAGCACAACTGAGGTGCAACCATAAACAACAACATCATCATCACCAACAACAACCTAGCAAAAACTGAACAACAACGTGACAACTCGACAACAACCCAAAGCCAGCTTTGTTTGTTTTTAAAGAACCGTGGCCCTCCTTGTCCTTTGGCTTGACAACAACTTCACGACAATTTAACAGCTTCACAACAACTGCACTAACAACAACTAAAAAACAACTTACCAACTACTTCGCAATAACTTGACCACAGCTTTACAACAACTTAAGAACAACTTAACAACAACTTAACAGCTTGACAACCACTGAATTAACAACAACCTAGAACCACTTCAAAACCACGTAACAGCCACTCAGCAAGAACTTAACAACAAGTTGACAACATCTAAAAAGCCTGACAACAACTGCATTAACAACGACTTAAGACTTAGAAAGAACTAAAAAACACTTGACGGCAACTTAGCAACAACTTAACACCAGCGTGACAACAACTTAACAGCTTCAGAACAAAGGAGACAACAACAACTTAACAACAACTTAAAAAGCAACGTAATAGCAACTTAGCAACAACTCAACAACAACTTAACCGTTTCACAACAACTGAATTAACAACAACTTAAAGACAACCAAACAGCAACTTAGCAACAACTTAGCACGACATCACAACAACTCAACAGCAACTTAACAACGACTGGACAACAACTTAACAACTTCGCAACAACTGAGCTAACAATTTAACAACAACTGAAAATCAACTTAACAACAACTGAAAATCAACTTAACAACAACTTGACAACAACTCAACAAGAACTTGAGAACAACTGAACAGCAACTTGGTAACCACTTAATTGACT